TAGGCCAGATGTTGGGCCTAAAGCCCATTGAAGATACCCAAATTTACAAAATGAGTTTGGATAATAGGCTAGATGTTGGGCCTAAAGCCCATTGAAGATTCCCAAATTTATAAAATGAGGTTGGATCGTAGGCCAGATGTTGGGCCTAAAGCCCATTGAAGATACCCAAATTTACAAAATGAGTTTGGATCATAGGCTAGATGTTGGGCCTAAAGCCCATTGAAGATTCCCAAATTGATAAAATGAGGTTGGATCATAGGCCAGATGTTGGGCCTAAAGCCCATTGAAGATACCCAAATTTACAAAATGAGTTTGGATCATAGGCCAGATGTTGAGCCTAAAGCCCATTGAAGACACCCAAATTTATAAAATGAGTTTGGATCATAGGCCAGATGTTGGGCCTAAGCCCATTAAGATACCCAAATTATGAGGGTGTAGGGTATCATGTTTAAACCCTTATTGGGCTTAGTCCTAGGCAAAGTTTACATTATAATCATTAAAAATATATATAGTATATTATTTAAATTATCATTTTTTTAATAAAAAAATGTTCACTTTAATAAATAAAAAGATTTATTTATAACAATTTAAAAGGAAATTTCATCAAATTCAAATCACATATTTTAATATATTATACATTAAATATTAATAATATCTATAATCCTTTAAATATCGAAGAATACATTAATATATTATTTCCTTCCAAATTTAATGTATAGACTAAATAAATATATGTTACAATAAAAACCATATGAATAGACGAATTCAAATTAAATTATAAAATAAATAAAAATGGAAGAAAAAAACTCGACACATCGAGTGTACACGGATTAAGTTAATTTGAGTTGAAAAAATCTTTTAGATTAACTCGAAATTTTATATTAGTTGGGATGATGATCCAAACAACTCGAATAAAGTTTATAATCCAATTCAATATTTTCGAGTTGAGTTATGGGTTGTGTAATTATTTAAAAAATATTACTGGTTCACGATACATATACATTAATAACTAAAATTTTTATTTAAATATTAAATATTACTTGTTACGGTTATCGTTATAAACATTAAATATTTGTAATATGTAGGGTTGGATGGTAACCTATTTTGGAATTCCATCGGAGTAACATTTTAAAAAAGTGGAAGCTAAAATAACCCAAAATCTTGATCAGTACATTATTGGAGGCGCCATAATTGTGGGCTTCAAATGCTCAGACCTTCTGAAATTTGAAGATTCTATTTCCGGAAAGTGATTGATCGCTCACGTTATTGGGTCGTTCTCATTCGATTGAAACGTGATGTTTTGATCGGTTTTTGTTTAGAGGGTTTTTTCGCTGCGGCTACAAGATGAGGAACAAATCGCAGGCGGCAAAATCTGGGGAGAATGCAGAATTGGTATGTGATTCGACTCTTATTCTTGTTCTGTTTGTTTCATGCATTTTTGTTTCGAACTCTTAAGCTGTTTGTGTTTGAGAATTAGTTGTTTTAAATTTGAAGTTGAAGCTAGTAATGAACTTATAGAATGGAATGGAATGGAAGTAATGAAGTTAATGATCTTTCCCCTTGTGTAATCTTAAGTGGATAGCAATGGCATGGTAACGAACTATAGACTCACATAATGATCGTCACTTTGTTGCTGAAGTTTTTCTTCAATCGTCCTTTGGAACTGCAAAATTTTCATTGTAGGGTTGTTTTAGGAGTTTAGAGTCGTGGGATACGAGTGCCAGCGAAGATGTTGGGCCTCGAAGGAGGTGGATTGTGAGATCCCATTTCGGTTGGAGAGGGGAACGAAGCATTCTTTATAAGGGTGTGGAAACTTCTCCCTAGTAGATGCGTTCTATAACCTTGAGGGACAGCCCGAAAGGGAAAGTCCAAAGAAGGCAGTATCTACTAATGGTGAACTTGGACGGTTACTAATCGTGAACGTTGCATCAATACCCCGCTCATGAAATCTTTATTGGTTGTTTGTGCTTGTGAGGGTCAATGTTTTAGACTTTATTTTGAGTATCTCAACTTTCATCCTTGCCCCTATTGATATAATCTGTCTAGTTTGTTGTGGTGCTCCTATGCTTTTACGGTGTGGGCGTGTGGTGTTGTTGTAACGGCCCAAGAACACCCCTAACAAATATTGTTCCCCTCAAGATTTTTAAAACGCGTCTAGTAGAGAGAGGTTCTACTCCCTTATAAAGGTTGTTTCGTTCTCCTCCCCAACCAATATGGGATCTCACCGTTGCATTTGACACGCTCCTATACTTTTTGTGTCAATGTGCGCATTACCTTTATCCTTCTCTCGAGTAAATTTCGAAACAGTAGAATAACTTGTGCATTTCGAATCAATCTGCTGAGTTAGTACTTCAAAATCGAAGCCCGAAAAGATCATTCGTTTTTGCAGAGCACAGAAGCAACACACGAAAGCACAATGACAGCATCTGAGAGATCAGAAGGAGGTACCAATCCATCCTTGAAGAAAGTAAAATCACCATCGACCAGTCGAAGTTCTTCTAAAAAGAAAGTGAATATGGTCTCCATTCGTCGATCGGAGCGTATACAAAATTCTACGCCTCTAAACTTCAAAATACAAAACGTCATTGAAGAGATTAATCTTAGTGAAAGTGATAAAGAAGATGAGTTACCTACTGACCATGAGAAAAGTTCTCCATCTCCCAGCAAAG